AGAACACCTAGTGCAGAGAGAGGGAGAGCTGTTATCAGGGAAAGAACTTGGCTTCAAACCAGGAATAGGATAGTCTTTGGAGGGTTAATTTTAGACTTTGGCTCAGTTCCAGGAATTGAAACTCAGGCCTTTTGAACATTTTAATGCAGAGGATTTTTTAAAATTATATAAGTAATTCACAAATACAGTCTTCTTGTAAAAAATTCAAACATAAATAAAGCTAAAGTTCTTCTTGATGATCCCCTCCCCTGCCCCCCTCCCCCATAACCACTATTTTCAGTCTAGTCAATACCCTTCCAGAGCTCTCTGTCTTACATACTGTTAGAAGCATATGGCCATGCATTTTGGATGGGCAGTACTTTTTTCTTTTGTGTGAATAGTATCATCTATACTTATATCAATCATCCTGTACTTAAGGTTTTGCAGTTTGACCTTTTCTGTCAATGATTTGTGTGAATCTTTTTCGATTTCAGCACTAATTTTTATTTTTAACTTGCCATGGTTTATTTAGCCTTTTCCTTACTCATAGACATTTAGGTTGTTTCCAGTTTACTTTGTTTAACTTTTTATAAACAATTCTAAAATAAACATCCTTGAAATTGTTTCTTCAGGGAAGATACCAAACAGTGGAATTGCTGAGCCATAAGTCATGTTAAAAATAAATTAGACACTGCCAATTTTCTCTCTAAAATGGCTATAGCAGTTTACACTCTCATAGATGATTTGAAATCTGGCTTCCTCACAAGGTTAGATGGCTTCACATTTTGTCATTCTTTCTCATGTTCTCCCTTTTGGACCTGTGAGAAGTGGGTGGAATTGTTACCAATCAACCAAGGAAAGGGGACAGTATCATTGCTGGGACTCCCAGGGGTACTTCTGCTTTCTTCCCTGGACCAGCTGCCTACCTCCCACCAGCTCTATCATATATTGGGGAATGAGCGCCACTTGGGTACCTTCTCATCCTTTGCACTGCAGTTATGAAGCAGAGCAGGTTGTAGGGCCTCCATCCAGCTCCTGTGCCCTAGCTTGGAAAACTGTGAAGGAAGAGGAGGAAAGGGTACTAGGAGTGAGCTGCTGACAACTGGGACATTTCAATTAAGTCAAATATATGACTTGATAATAACTATGGAAATTATAAATGAACATCCCCTTTGGCTCAGCAATTTATATACATATTTTTTGACAAATACCTTTTAAAAATGTTTACCATTTTAATTCTAAGTAGGTAATATATTCACATGATTAAAAAAATCAAACTGTAGATGGGGTGGGTGGGTGATGGACTTTGGGGAGGGTATGTACTATGGTGAGCGCTATGAATTGTGTAAGACTGATGAATCACAGACCTGTACCCCTGAAACAAATAATTCATTATATGTTAATAAAAAAAATCAAACTGTATAAAAAGTATCTAGAGAAATGTCTTGCTCCCACCATTGTTCCCTATATTTTATTCCCCAGCCCCTCACAGCTACTTTTAAATTTTCTTATATATCTTTCAGAATTTTTTTTTTAAAGATTTTATTTATTTATTTGAGAGAGAGAGAATGAGAGATAGAGAGCACGAGAGGGAAGAGGGTCAGAGGGAGAAGCAGACTCCCTGATGAGCAGGGAGCCTGATGCGGGACTCGATCCCCGGACTCCAGGATCATGACCTGAGCCAAAGGCAGTCGCTTAATCAACTGAGCCACCCAGGCGCCCTGTACTACAGTTAAAAAGTGTGTTCTCCCCCCTCATTGTAAATTCAGAATATACAATGCAAACTGGCCTTTCAACTACATGTGCTATCATTCTCACGTTATAAATGAAATGTTCAAGTTAGGTATTGGGCCAAGTCCTCTAAGTGCTGGTGCTCTCTTTCACACTTTCTGAGGGGAGTTGGCAGAGGGTCTCAGGCCCTCATACCCTTACTCCTAGAATCTGTTAGGTGGGTTTCTGATGTACAGGTAAGGAGGTAGGGGTGCTAAAGCATTTACACCCAGACCAGAAGAGAAAAGCACTTGTTAGCATTTAATGAACGCCCTCAAACTGGCTTCAAGCTACTAGAATGCAGGCGCCCCCCACACCCTTATCTTCTCCTCTGCTCTTCTACTGAAGAATTTGGCCTTCACGATGACAGGCTGTTTTGGGAGTTTTCCCTTTCCCAAAACTTTGTAGTAGCCCGATCACACCACATCAATGATAGGAGCAGCTCCAGTCTTGTTTTTGGCAGCATTTACCCGTGTCTGCTCACTGACCAAGGTCCACAGTTTATCAAGGTTGACAGTTGGGCAGAAGCTCTGGTTCCTCTTTAAGTGGTAATGTCTCATACCAACTTTTCCAAAGTATCCTGGGTGATATTTGTCGAAGTTGATCCTGTGGTGATGCATGCCACCAGCATTACCCCACCCTCCTGGGTGCTTCCGGTGCTTGCCGATGCGGCCGTGGCCGTGGCTCACGTGGCCCCGAAGTTTCCGGGTCTTCCTCAGTCTGGATGGCATGTCGGCAGCTCAGACGGAAAAACTTCTTTCAGAATTTTTGAAATCAAATACACATTGGAAAGTACTATCTTATTTTCCCCCCTGCTCTTTGTTACATAAGTTAGTGCGCTGTAAACACTGTCTGCCTCTTGCTCTTTTTTAGTTACCAGCATATCTTGGACAGGCTTCCATATTGGTGTGGAATGCTTTCTGATTTTTTGAGAGAGGGAGGGAGGGGAAGAGAGAGAGAGAGAATATCTTAAACAGGCTCCATGCCCAATATGGGCTCAATCTCACAACCCTGAGATCATGACCTGAGCTGAAATCGAGTCAGACACTTAACCGACTGAACCACCCAGGTGCCCCTCTGATTCTTGTTTATAGCTGCATGGCATTCCATTGTATGGATGTCCCATAATTCATTTAGACAGACTCCCATTGATAGAGATTTGGGTTTTCCCCCCAATCTTTTGCTTTTACAAGTTATGTGCAATGAATAAATTTGATCATGTGTCATTTCACGTGGGTGGATATACACAGGATAAATCACCAGAAGTGAAATTGTTGGGCCAAAGGGGATGTTCATTTGTGATTTTCATAGTTTTATCAAATTTTCCTCTATAGGAGTTGTACCAATTTATATTCCCACCTATAATGGTTAAGAGTGGGGGTTTCCCCAGTTTTCCCAATAGAGTGTGTTGTTAAACTTTTGATTTTTGGTAATCTGATAGGAGAACATTGGTATCTCAAAGTACTCTTAATTCAATTTTCTTGTCATAAGTAGTATTGAGCATGTTTTACTTTGTCCACGATCTAATAGTATTTCCTTTTCTGTGGACTGCCTGTTAATATATTGTTTGTTGGATTTTTCCCTGTTCATGTTTTTTCTAATGTTTTGAAGGAACCATTTATATATTAAACAAATTACCCCTTTGCCTGATATATAGTTACAAATATTTTTTCCTTGGGTTGTTTTTGTGTTTTGACTTTGCTTCTGGTGACTTCTGCAATTCTGAAAGTTTACTCCTTACATCATTTATTATTCATTTTTTGCTCCACGCTTTTGATCATACTGGTCCCACTACTGAGAGTACCCTTTCCCTTCTTTTCTTTTCTTTTCTTTTTTTTTTAATTTAATTTTATTATGTTATGTTAGTCACCATACATTATATCATTAGTTTTTGATGTAGTGTTCCATGATTCATTGTTTGTGTATAACACCCAGTGCTCCATTCAATACGTGCCCTCCTTAATACCCATCACCAGGCTAACCCATCCTCCCACCCCCGCCCCTCTAGAACGCCCAGTTTGTTTCTCAGAGTCCATAGTCTCTCATGGTTCATCTCCCCCTCTGATTTCTCCCCCTTCATTTTTCCCTTCCTACTATCTTCTTTTTATTTTTTTAAACATGTAATGTATTATTTGTTTCAGAGGTACAGGTCTGTGATTCATCACTCCTGCTCATTGTTTTAGGTCTGACTCACATGTCGTCCTCCTTAACCCTCTGTCCTTCACAGTAGATGTTGTCCTCCTGGCTGCTCCTTTCATACTTTATCTTACCTCTGTTTGCCACATTGCCTTATCTTTGGTGGTATCTATCTGCCTCTCCCATCTAACTAGGAATGCCTTCCCTGTCTTGTTTCTGTACTCCCAGCTCCTAGTACATAGGATTTACTTAATAAATGTTTGTTGAATAAATGAGTAGAGAAATTGTTGACAGTGGTTACCACCAACACTTCATCCCTTACTTCAGCTGATCCTATTTTTCAGATGAAACTTGTGTACCAAATATCTTTTGTGGAGAAACATAAATGAAGGGGAGGGATAGGTAGGCTCGTCTTTGATGGTTAGTGATGTTCCTAGGTATTTTGCCATACTCAGTGATGAGGAGTGGGCTTCCAGCTTCCCAAGGAGAACTCTCATGGCTCCATTTATCTTTATTTAATTTTTTTTAAAGATTTTTTTTTTTAATTTATTCATTTGAGACACAGAGACACACAGAGAGAGAGAACATGAGCAGGGGGAGAGGCAGAGGGAGAGGGAGGAGCAGGCTCCCCGCTGAGCCAGGAGCCCGATGTGGGGCTCTATCCTAGGACCCTGGGATCGTGACCCGAGCTGAAGGCAGATGCCTAACCATCTGAGCCACCCAGGCGCCCCTACATTTATCTTTACTCTTCTGTGTCAGATCCAAGAAAAGGCAATTACCACATGGAAAAAAAAATGTTTTTTTCAGTGAAATTTATTTCAGAATCATTGAAGCAGTGTGGTCATACTTAATCATTCATAAATATTCCTATTTAAACAATCTGAGCTTATACATTTTTCAGCCTTGGTGAAAGGACTTGATAGCACATTAAGATGGCACATTAGTGCAAATTAAATTCATTTCATAGCTATTAAAGAGTGGGCTCTTTCACAGACACTGATGCTTCTTGGCCCTCTTGACTTAAATTAAATAGAATAACCCACCAATAAATAAATAAATAAATAAATAAATAGTTAAGTGGTTGTTCATCAGAAGCTGGGCACAAAGGACAGAGGGTTTCTTTGAACCTAAGGTGTAATGGCCTCTGTCAGGCTGGCTTCGAGTGAGTAGAAGAGATGAGAGGGACCTGACTCAGCAGAGGGGGTCTAAGGATTGGCCCTGGGAAGAGGGGGTTATTCCATCTGGTTGGTAGGCAGGAGGTCTTCTTAGCAGTGATTTAGGGAAGGCAGCTGTGCACCGATTAGATAATGAAGTGAAGTGTGCACTGATTAGATAGTGAAGTTCCGCTTGAGGCCATGTTTAAACCCTTCTATTCCCCTTCCACTGGCACTAAGGGTTACTCAGCACTTGTGGACTCTCTGGATACAGGTCGCTAGGAAGAGGGTTCCATGGTGAAGTCAATTATATCCTGACCACCTTTGGTATTTCCCAAGAAGACAGGCATTGCTTCTGCTTTAGAGGTGCTGATATACCAGTTGGGGAACTGGGAAGACTCAAATTCCAAGGTTTTCTTGATTTCTGTCTTGTTGAAGACAAATCGCTTTTCCATCTTCTTCTTTGGGTAAACTCTGGGGTCTAACATCTGCAGCAAAACATAAATAAGAATTTTTATGAGGGAAGGGACAAAGACACTCTGGTGGTTATTCTCTGGTTCAGCTAGAGAGGAAACTGATGAGTCGTAGGACCAGGATCCAGACTCCTGATTTATCTTTGTGACCCCAACTTTCTGTGTAGTGACTGAAAGAGCTCTTACTCTTTTCTGAAACTTAGTATCAAATGGTAGGGAGCATAATATAGGTGGGAATTTTATTAAAAAGTGAAAATTGGATTAAAACTAGGAGTAGTGGGCGCCTGGGTGGCTCAGATGGTTAAGCATCTGCCTTCGGCTCAGGTCATGATCCCAGAGTCCTGGGATCGAGTCCCGCATCGGGCTCCCTGCTCCTTGGGAGCCTGCTTCTCCCTCTGCCTCTCTCTCTCTCTCTGTGTCTCTCATGAATAAATAAATAAAATCTTTAAAAAAAAACAAAAACAAAAACTAGGAGTAGCTAGTTTCCAGGGACTTTTGCTGTATTTTTCCTTATAGCCCTGGCTAGAATGACTTCAACTTAGAAATGAAACTTTTGTTGGGAAAGCTGGTTGGGGGTGGGGTAGGGTGGAGGGTGATTTTGGGAGTGGAGGAGATGACAGGTGACAGCTCCCTTGATTAATTTCCCAAAGTGTCATTTATCAAATGGAGTAACCCTAACAATGTTATAATCCTTCTAACCCTAACATTGTATCATCTGTTGGGTGGTAACAATGGCAGGACATAATAATATCAGCAAAATGACTTAATTTTCTGTGGTGGGAGTGAAAGTTGCATACATCTAACAATTACATTAAATTTATTTACATTTATGCAAAATTATCAAGTAGCTCTGCTCCCAGATTTCCTGGGGAGGAAAAGGTGGTTGTCTTGGAAGTAAGTGAGGCCTAATGGTGTTTGAGAGGAGCCTGGGAAGCCTTCAGCCCCTGGTACTCACTTACCTCTAGCTGCAGGGTGGGCTTCCCATCTTTCATCACACAGGACAGGTACAGATTCTTTTCTTTGATGCACAAGGTCACAGGTATCTTGTTACTATTTTCATCCCCTTGCACAAAGCTCATTCGGAACACCGCTAGAGAAAGAAAAGGGGCCTTGTGGTCAGGAACACACAGCAGTGCAGAGTTGGCCCAACCACTGGACCCCAAGCCCAGGACTCATACAATTAACATCTGTGGGAACCCACACTGAGGTTCTCATGGCCCAACAGATGGGATAACTTGGCTTCCCACAGGCAATAAGCAGGGTTAGTTGGTTGATTCTTTTCTCCAAAGAAGGTCTGGGGGTTTCTTAGAGCCTCATCACAGTGGCAGTGAAGAATTAGGGAGTCTAAGTTTTGAAAACGGAAGGAAGGAAGCCATTTTGTGACTGGCCAGTGGTGTCCCCATCCAAATGAGCAAAACGATTTGATCAATGTGAAAGGCAAGAAAAGAGGTAGATCAGGGCTCCCAAAGGAAAACAGGCGCAAATCTGTTTCAGACACATGGAACAACAAGTGGGAAGAACTTGGGAGAGGGGACGCTTAGCTGGGAAAAGTGGCTTCAAAGAGACACTCATTTTAATCTTCCTTAGTCACAGCCATCTCATTTGGGGGCCTTTAGGTCATGCTCACAACCCCGTTCTAAAGAAACAGGTTTGTCCTGGCCTGGCTAAGATGCCTCTCTCCAAGTTCAGCAGCCTTGGAAGAGAACAGGCTGCTCCTTTCAGCTGCTCCCTTGGCTGTGCTCCTGCATACAGGGTTCAGTGGCAAGGTGCCAGGCAGATTTCCACAAGTAATCGGCTCTCCAGACTTGAAACATTTGCTAGTTACAATACAGAGAGATAAGTTCCTGCTTGTCAGTAAAATTTCCCTATAAGGAGCCATCTGGTATTGGGCGGGCAGGATGTTAGGGTTAAGGGGGCAGGGTTGGGAATGAGGATGGACACATTATCTATTTGCCACTCGAGTTTCAACCTCAAGAACAGGAAAAAGGAACCCACAGGCAGTTAGGTCATGTCCATCAAATGACCCCTTTCTAATGGAAGCATTGACATTGCACTATCATTCAAAGACTTGGCTAGACAATGGTCCTGGGTGTGCTTGAGCATTTTAATTTCTCAGAGTCTCATCTCTTGTTGAAAAATGAACACACTAAGGGAATCAATCTGGTGTTATTGCTAGGACCAAAATAAAAAGTTTACATGTTCATTATTATATGTTTTTTCATTTATGTTCATAATTTGCCTTATTGTTCTACTTTGTTAAAAATGTGGAGAATTAGCAAGCAGCCAGGAGGCCAAGAAAGGAATCAAGATGTCCCCAGTTACCTTGTTGGTTCACACTACTCCCATTGAGGTGGAGAGCCCGAAGCTCACATGAGTTATACAGCACCAGGGATTTTTGGCTTATGTCCCGGAATTTGCAGTCCAGCGATTGCAGGTGTGCATCACACACAAAGGCATCATCATCATACACTTCACAGACGATGGGTTCTGAAATATGGAGCATATATGTTGTTCAGGAAGAAAATTGGAAGGGCAGGCCAGATGATAGAAGGCATCAGAATTTGTTTTTTTTGGTGGATATCTGAGCATGCACAGCTGGAGTTTGATTATAACAATTGTGGGGAGAGGGTGGAATGTGTGAGAACACTGGACCTGGCACCATAAGATGTGGATTCAGGCTTGCTGTGGACTAGGAATAGAGCTACTCACATAAAATGGCAATGGCAGTAACACTAGCCCAACGAGGACATTGTAAGACTTGCGGGAGGTAATGCAAGTGAAAGCCTCTGAGATTGGTGGAGTGACTGGCAAATGTGAATAGTTATTAAGGTCTTACTTTAAGAATAGTGTCAACTAAAGAGATAACTCATTTGGTTTCTAGGCTCCTCTGTTTTTTCTCTCAATAGTAGGCCTTCTACTTTTTTAAAAGGCTTCAGCTTCAGGGTAGTTTAGTTGACTGTTGAGTTATGGACTCTGAGAAGCAAATGACCAGAGATCTCCTATCTCAGTAAATACCTTCTTCAAAGATGCAGCAAAAGATGTTCTTCAGGTCATCATCCTGGAGGGGCTGTGAGCAAGGTAAAGATATCTTCTTCAGCTTCTCCAAAGCCACAACGACTGACACGAAATGCTTCAGACTCTTGTTATGGAGCTGGTGAGAGATGTGTAGCTGGATGCCCTCATCTTCCAGAGAGCTGTTGTTCAGGTCTTGGAAGCAGCACTGTGGAGAGACCAAGGAAGAGTGTGTTAAGATGGTTGGGCCAGAGAACTGTTTTTACATCAGAGAGGCCAAAGGGGCCTTGGAGATAACTGAGCTTCTAATGTTAAACTCTCTTCTCTCTGAAGCCCAGAGAGGTTCAGTGGTTTATCCAAGGGCACGTGGCAAGTTAGAGGCAGACCCAAAACCAGAATTGTGGGCTTTCTGGTGGCCTATATGGTATTCTTCTAGAATAAAACCCATGTCTACCTCATTTATCTTTTTTATACACTGCTCCACCTAACCATAAATTTATACCTTCTTGCCCTTTGTGTCTTTTTGTATCTCTAATGCTTTAACACTATGTATTTAATTCTTCATGGCAATGATGATCGTAACATTTTCCATTCATCTATGTTCATTCAACAAGTTTTTAAGTATTCTATACAAGTTCCCTGTTTTTTTTCTAAACACTGTCTTATAAGCATTCTACAAATACTTTAAAAGTGTTTACTATCTGTGAAATATGTTCCCACTTTCCTGTTATTCAGAGAAACTGTGTAACTGTATGAAGGCTTAAGTTAGGTTGCCCTGGTAGCATGATAATGGTTTGAACTCTCAAAGGACAGTTAAAGAGGCCTCTAATGGCACAGAGGAAAGCTGAGTGTGACAGAAGTTCCTGCCCAGAGCTGAGGCTCCAGATTAGAGTGAGCCAGGCTGCTGGAAGGAGCAGTGGAGGTAAAGGCCAGACAGAGAAGCCACACACCCCACCCAGGGCTGGAGTAAACCAGTGGCTGGTTTTTTAAAGAAATGTGCTTTTTGCAAGAGTAGGGACTGGATTATTAGGCTGGGGGAGGCTGCCAAGAATTGGAAAAAGAAAAAAAAAGTCAGAGAAAAGTAGCTGCTTGCTAATCTGTCTGACTGACCTAGCTGGGTTGATGGCTGTACCATATTGGAAAGTCATCAGGCCTCATACAGAAGAGAAGGGACAGCTCGAATGTTAAAATGGCTCCCAGTAAGGTTGAGAGTCAGAGCGAAACACCCATTTCCAGGGATAAACTTAGCTACCACTGACAATATTTCAGAATTGAATGTTACAGGATGCCAGGAGCTCAAAGATCATCTAGTTCATTCCCTTTGTTTTTCAGAGGCCCAGGGGGTGAAGTGGCTTGTTTAAGGTCAAACAGCAAGTGAATGAATTTCTTTCAACTCGTAATTCATCTTTTTGTTTATATCATCCACATCTTATTGTCATAAGCTCCACCCCAGGGAGGAAAAACTATTCTACCTTTAAAGAGGAGCAGGCATATGTTAATTCCCAAGGACTTAAGTGATTTATGTAGGCAGAGCCCTCTCCTAAAAGGAAAATCAAATTTGCATTGCAGCCTTGGCTGCCTTCCTAGCAAGACACAGCAGATTTTATCACCACTGCCATTCCTCCTTGCCCTCCGCAAGCATAGCCATCATCACCAAGCCTTAGTGAGTGATGGTGGGAATGGTATAGTGACCAAGTCAGCATGCAGTGCCACCTGTGTCTCTCTTGCTGGAAGAGGTAAAAGTCCTTCCATCACAAAATACCATGGAAACAAGGGGGCCTAGAACCCTTTTCCTGGAGGCTCTCCCATGTCAGAATCTCACCAGGAGTTATGAGCTAAGCCCATGGTCTCACCTTCATCTTTCTGGGGCCATCAGCCTCAAAGAATAGGTCATTCTCGTTGTCACTGTAATAAAAACAGAGAGATTGCTCAAGTATGTCTCCCAGACAAGTTTTCTTTCTTTTTTTTTAATTCCCTGCAAACAGTCTTCATTATTAATAGGAAACTGCAAATGGTATGTCCCTTAAAGTTGCTGAAAGCTGCTGGCAAGTTTTGTGGCAATATACATGGAATGGCACAGGAGGCAGGGCAGATATCCTGGGTACTCCCTGTTGGATCCTGAGACCTAACTTCCACCCACTCCACATCTGAGCTTTTCCTCTCTCTCAAGCCAAAATTTGCCAAGAAGTCCCCTGTATTTTGTACTTTGAATCTTTTTTTCCTATTTGCCATCTGCAGGAAGCCCCTGCAGCAACAGCATCTGGATGGCCTGTGGGTCCAAAGGCTGGACTTGCAGTGGGAAATCATTCTTTAAACCAGGTTAACTTGGAGCCATGCTTGCCACGGGAAGAGGCAGTTCGGGGGACAAATCTGGTCTCCAAGCACAGATAACACTCCGCTCTTGAAAGAGGAGTGCTGCTCACATTGCTGGTCTCACTGTCCCCACTGACCTGTAGTAGTAAGACATCATTTCACTGGTGGGTTCAGGTACTGTTGCCATGGCTGCTTCAGAAACCTGTGTAAAGAGGAGAAAATGAGCGACTCCTGCCATGCCAGTCTCCATGAGAACTGCCTTCATATGTGATTTTCCCTTAGCACCTGGCACATGGCAGGCATGTAAAGGAACAATCTTTAAATGAGTGAGTGAGTGTATGAAAGAGCCTTCCTTTGGGTCCAGAGGAAACATTTGCTAAACCAAACCCAAACCAGGAGTGTATTTGTTAGATTTGGAGCAGAGACTTTGACACTGATCTCTCAGATGTCTGCTGCTACATAAGCAGTACTCATTCCCAGAATATTTCACGAATCATAGCCATAATACATGTGGCATTTTTGTAAAAAGCCCAGCTCTCAGGCAGAGAGGAAGGGAGAGAGGGAGGGAGGGAGAGAGAGACAGAGACAGAGAGAGACAGAGAGACTTGACTGGAACCTAGTCATAAAGAAGAGTTAGTTCAAGTTGTACCTGAGTAGTGAAGACTGGCTGGAGAGAATAGAATCCTGGAGTGGACCACTGTGCCTCGAAGAGCTATGCCATCTGCCAATCTCTACCTCACTTTTATGTTCTTAAAAGCAGAAGTGGAGAGCTGAAGAATTTCCCCTTTGGTTACTGATTTCACAACCAAATTAAAAAAAAAAAAAAGGATCAATGGGAACTTCTGGGGGAGGGTAAACTGAAATAATTGTCTAGCCCATGGAAGGGAAAGTGGTAGCAAATGATGACACATTTTTACAAATGTGTCATTATGCAAATATATATCATTTTTCTGACAACTGTTACACAAATGATGTCAATATTAAAATATAGGGTTTTCCTAGATTAGGATACTATTTTAACTTAGGGTCTCTGGAACAAAATGGAGAACACACAGATACCTACACGAACAGGCTCCCTCACTCATGCATTGTACATTTATATTTAGGAGCCTTCCCACTTGGAGATGGATTAAGGGGTATAAAGACAGTAACACTTCCAGTCTGAACTGAGGGTGCTGTTTTCTACTTTGGAAGTTCAAGGTTAATTACAGAAGCCTCTGGGGAGACAGGTGACCTCCTAGGATGGGACAGAAAATATATAGCTGTGCAGGCGTTCAGGCTCCTGATGGGGCTGGGAGAACCTTGCGGATAAGCTCATTCAACCCTTTCAGACCAGGTGCTGGTACCCTAGCCAGTTACACATGCAGTCTGTATCAGTACTTGATGAATAGTGAATAAGCCTGGATTGAGAATGTATTTGAAAAGATTATGAATAATGATGTAGGAAAGAACGTGAGGGTTCAAAGCCGACGGCCAAGAAAGAATTCTTGAGATGTCTTTGGTGCAAAAGGTGGTTTTATTAAAGCACCTTCTCCTATTCTGAAGTTGCCTTTTTGTTTTGTTGACTGTTTCTTTTGCTGTGCAGAAGCTGCTCACTGTGACATAGTCCCCCTTGTTTATTTTTGCTTTCGTTGCTCGTCCTTTTGGTGTCATATTAAAAAAACCATCGCCAAGACTAGTGTCAAGGAGCTTTTCCCCTATGTTTTTTTGCAGGAGCTTTATAGTTTCAGGTCTTACTTTTAAGTCTTTAATACATTTTGAGTTAGTTTTTGTAAGTGGTGCAAGATAGGCATCTCCAATTTCATTGTTTTGCATGTGAATATCCAGTTTTCCCAACACCACATATTAGAAAGACTGTTTTTTTTCCATTGAGTATTCTTGACTCCCTTGTTAAATATTAGCTGACCATATATGCATAGGCTTATTTCTGGGCTCTCAATTCTGTTCCTTTGTTCTATGTGTCTGTTTTTATGCCGTTACTATACTGTTTTGATTATTATGGCTTTGCAGTTTCGTTTGAAATTAGGAAGTGTGATGTCTCCAGCTTTGTTTTTCTTTCTCAAGATTGCTTTGGCTATTTGGGGTCTTTGATTCCATACATATTTTAGGATTTTCTTTCTTTCCTTCTTTCCTCTTTTTTCTTTCTTTCTTTCTTTCTTTCTTTCTTTCTTTCTTTCTTTCTTTCTCTCTTTCTTTCTCTCTCTCTCTCTCTCTTTCCTTCCTCCCTCCCTCCTTTCCTTCCTTCCTTCCTTCCTGAGAAAGAGAGCATAAGCTGGTGGGGGGAGGGGGCAGAGGGAGAGGGAGAAAGAGAATCCCAAGTAGGCTTCCTGCCCAGTGCATAGCCTGACGCGGGACTCAGTCTCACGACCACTGAGATCATGATCTAAACCAAATCAAGAGTCGGATGCTCAAGTGACTGAGCCACCCAGTGCCCTAGGATTGTTTTTTTCTATTTCTGTAAAATATGCCACTGGAATTTTAATAGTTGTTGCATTGAATCTATAGATGGCTTTAAATAGTATGGACATTTTAACAGTATTAATTATTCCAGTCCACGAACTTGGGATATCTTTCCATTTATTTGTGTTTTCTTTAATTTCTTTCATTAATGCCTCAGAGTTTTCAGTGTACAGATCTTTCACCTTCTTGGTTAAATTATTCCTATTTATTTTATTGTTTTTGATACTATTAAAAATGGGATTTTCTTTATTTTTCTTTTAGATGTTTTGTTGTTAGTGTATCAAAATACACCAGACTTTGTTGAACTCAGAGACCAGCAGAGTACCTGCCCAAAGTACTGCCCCAGGGTAGCCTTCACACTTGTAGGATGATTGAATGACCAGGTTGTAAACTGCATGGAGCCTAGGAATGGGGCCTTCCCCACCCCTTTTGGCACATCTGTATTACAGCACTTATAGCACTGAATTGAAACCTTGCTGGCTTATCTGGTTCCCTTAGGAAGCTGTGAATTCTTAGAGCTGGGTCTGGCATAGTGCCTGGCATGCAAACTGAGGCAGTGAAATTTTCTTGCCTGCATGGGTGAGCAGGAATTTGACAGTGTTTTCCCTCAAATGAGCATGTACCTACTATGTGCCAGGTACTGTGCTTGCTCTGTGTTGTCCATGGGAGAAAGTCCCTGACTTTTCCAAGTAGGAGGGAAATAGACTACTGTGGGGCAAGGATTGCCCAGCAAGCTGGCTCACCAAACAGCCCTCTGATTCTTAATTTGGCTCCTAGTACCTTGATATCAGGAAGGCAGACACAAGAATGCCATCTTTGATAAGTTATATGTTCCACAGGCAATCTAAAAGCTGCATCCTGGGGGCGCCTGGGTGGCTCAGTCGGTTAGGCATCTGCCTTCAGTGCAGGTCATGATCCCAGGGTCCTAGGATTGAGCCCCACATCTGGCTCCCTGCTCAGCAGGGAGCCTGCTTCTCCCTCTCCCTCTGCCCCTGCCCCCTGCTTGTGCACGCACGCTCTCTCAAATAAATAAATAAAATCTTAAAAAAAAAAAAAGCTGCATCCTGTTCAAAGCATCAGTTTTTTATGAGTTTGGTAAGCAATAGTCAGTTCCCAACTCTGAACCTTCATAAAATCGGGTGTCTGGTTCTACAGACATTTTAGAGGCCCTGTCTAAGGAGCCTGATGGACTTTTCTGTTTTACCTACACAGGCTTCACTCTGTAAATTAAGCAGTGGTCCCCAAATTTCACTGAAGGAACTACCATCTTCTTCAGAGTCTTTATGCTGGGGTGAGCAAGACCTGGAGGTCTGATAGCTCTGTGGGCTCTCCTGACAGAGAACACAGAGATGCCCTCAGCCTGTTGATGTGATTAGAAGCTGAGTGAAGTTGGATGAAAGCCAGTGACAGAAAGGGAGGTATGCAAGAGACTCAAGCGTCATTTCTGAGTTAATCCATTCTGTTTCTAAGGATTTGAGATTGAGGTCAGGAATCTTGAATCTACTTCTACATCTTTTAGTATCCAGGGTGTATAAGTTCCCATTCTTTTTGCTCAAGGGAAATTTTGGAGCCATGGGGCAATGCCCCTTGACGTAGTAGTTTCTACAGTTCTGCCATGTCTCATCCCAGCCCCATAGCCTGGACCCCAACATGGCAGCATCCTGTCCATCTCAGGAAGTGAAACTTCTTATTGTGTCAGGCGAGCATGTTGCACAATGCATGTATCAAGCCCTGTCTCTTCAAGGAGACTACTCAGGCCATAGCACTTCCTTCCAGTCCCTAATCAACAGAAAACTTCTCACTACAGAAATAGTTGCAGTGGGGGAGGGCCCGGAAGACTGACGATGATGTAAATGGCAATGCAAACCCAAAAAATGAAACAAGCAGAAGTGGGGAGTTGGCAATGACAGGATGTAGTGGGAAGCTCCAGTTTTGGGGGGATTCTTCCCTCTTGAGTCACTCAAGCCCTTCTCACCTGCAAGTTGTCCTCTACACTGGCAGGTCATTTTCCAACACAGGAGACTGGCATTTATTCAGAGCAGTAAGTGCCTTGGTACTATCTTATGTCTGATCTTAAGCTTCTAGCCTCTCTTAGCAAGATTGGCTCACCCAAATGGTCTTCAATCATTTTGAGCAAGAAGACAAATAATCATGGGTTAGTTCTTATATTATCATGTGTAGTTGTAGTAATATCTACTCTCTGCCATGGGCCATTTTGTTCTTGTTGACTCTCTTGCACAGAAAAGCCACCGTTTTCCAAGTCCCATCTCATTCTTGGCATTGACTTCCTAATACTCTTCTTAAGAGTCTATCATTCCTTCCTGCCATTCCCATGTCTTTCTGGTAGCTGAAAGTATTTAAAATGTCCTGTGTAGCCATTCCTGTCTCCATGGATACCTCTCTCCTTTTCTTTCTGTTTTAGGGTTTATTTCAGATTAGAGAGTCTGATTTTAGTTTTGAGACCTCTGCTCTTCCTCTTATAGCGTCATCTCCATTGAGTCTGCCCCCTCCTGGATCCAGGCACTCCGAGCAGATAGGTAGATTCCAGGGTATTCCATTCTCCTCCCTGGTCTGGAACAAGGAGGACTCAAATATATGAGCAAGCTGCTGGGTTTGGTGAGGTATATGGTCTGCAGAGGCTTCTCCTTACTGGCTGAGTTGTTATTTCACCTCTGAGAGGCCAGTGGAAACTTGTCCTTCCTTTGGGTTCAACAGCAAAAGCCCTTTGGCAGGTGAGGTGGATGCCAGGGCATTTCTACTTTATATCTTTTCTTGCACGTAATGGATATAAGATAGTCAGCCACAAACACAGGGCTTTGGTGCTGCTTATACTAGGAGTCTGGAAACATTTTAAAGGACCAGATAGTAAATATTTTAGGCTTTGTGGGTCATAGGGTCTGTTGCAACTACTCAACCCTGTCGTTGTTGTGAGAAAGCAGCCATAGATAATACGTAAATGAATGGGCTTAACCGGATTTGTTCTGCAGGTCATAAGATGTAGGCCCCTGTCTTACACCATTGTATTAAACCATATTTCTTGGATATAAATTTAGAAACAATACTTAAAAAAACCTGTCCTTTATTGAGTGCCAGGCACTTTTTTCATTGCCTTATTTAGTCTTTGCAATAAACTTTAGAAATAGTATTTACCCATTTCACCTATGTGAAAACTGAGGCTGACAGATAACTTATTGAAGATCAAACACCTAGTAAATAATGGAACCATGACTCAAACATGGTTGAATTGAACCTAAACCAGATCCTTTTTT